ACCAACGAAACAAGGGTCGCTAAGCCGTAGTGTACAGATTGCAGTTGAGCGAGGGCATGCAGAAAACTGAAGTTGAGAGGTTCCGTCACATACGATGGACGCAGTGACTCAAAATGGCGCACCATCGCCACTCGAGCTCCATTGTCACCACTACCACCACGACCACGACCACGACCACGACCACGACCACTTCTACCACCACGACCACCGCCACCACCAAGCAGACGCATCTGAGCAGCAATCGCACAGGCGCACACAGCCAAGGCGATAGGAGAATAGCATAGTCTTGCAGTTTCTGGACGTGCATCAAACCGCGCCCACAGAAACAGGATGCAAGCAAGTCCATGTAGCCACGCTGGAATAACTGGTGGTCGATTTGGAAGGCATAGCTTCTGCCGCAGAAATGCGAACGCCTTGGAACCAAACAAAGGCAGCCTCTCAAATGGAACTTCATGCTTTTGAAAACTTGAGGATCCAACGCGTCTATACTCATAAAACAACGGCCGATCGTGCGCAAAGTTGATACCGGGTAAGTTAAGTCTGTCTGCAGCGGTTGCTTCTACAAGAATTCCAACAAAGAGTTGACGAAGTGGTAGTGAACACAAGTGGATAGATTCACGGTTTTTGACATCCTCAACTCTGGGACTCATCACGATCCCAAACGAGTACAACGCATCACAATAACCGGGCTGTATTCGCCTTTGGCGAAAAGCTTTCATTAGGCGAGGAGACCATTCCGCAATCAGTTGTGGGTCAGAATTACCTTCTGCCAAACTTTGCAGCGCGCGAAGCCCGTATTCCTGACTTGAGGGATGTAAATCATGTGGTATTACCTGCCTCACACGACAGGATGGGGGTTTTCCACCAAATAGGTACTCCAGGTATGGCGTAACCTGATCCATGGGGACAGAATAGGAGGCGAGCCCAGCAAGCAAATACTGTGCAGCTTGAGGCCTCTCCGCTAGCGGAAATCCAGATATGATTCTGTTCACGGGCTCCACGATGTCACCTCCGAATCCTGACAGCCAATCTACCACACGCTGAAATTTCGCGGATTTACGAGATGGACCGGCTGATCTGGATGCTGCTTGATCGTCATGTTCGACAAAATGCTGTTGAGTAGCAGGTTCAGGAATATAATTGTCAAAGTACCCGAATGGAATGTAGTCATTGCCACAGAGCACTGCAAATAGAGGACGCTGGATTGGTGCTAACCCCTGGAACGTACGACCCTCTCTCGCCACAAACATCTGTGCTTCAAGGTAATAGCCCCCATCGAAGGATCGTGGGGTTTCAAAATCACAAAGATCAGTAGGAATGTATGTAAGACCACCACTGCTCGCCCAGTATGGGGCGAATATATAAAAATCCGAGTCGTTCGAAATCAATGGAGCACCTAAGTGGATGGCAAGGGCAGCCGCAACCTGATCTGCTTCGAAGTCGACGGTAATATGAAGCACTCCAAGGCGGTCAAGAGTGCTCAGAAAAGACTGACATGCGAGTGATGGCAGCAGCCTGATCCGAAAATCTTCGAAACCACCGTCTCGTAATGGCAAGTCGGTGGCAGCCGTCTGAAGATTGAAGCAGGTGATTAAGCGGTCACGTTTCCGGTTCAAAATTGTTCTCATCTTGGACATCTGAATAGAAAAAAAGCGAAAAAGAGTATGAATATGGCACTGTAATAAATTGTCTTCGCAGATCAGGCCTCCACTTTGTTTTTAAAGTCAGGTATCTCCCCGAATACGGCATGATCCGTCATGTTGGCGATATGAAAGCCATTTCAATATCAATTCAGTTAATACAAAAATAAACAAATTTGCAAAAGCGTGTGTATTTTGACAGAATCCATTCTGAGGTTTCACGTATAACACAACCACTTGATGCATTCATCAAATACGAAATAGTGGTTTCGAGGATACAGGTAAGTATGCAAGAAATGAGAACAAACGCAAAGCCCTTCCCCTAATAAGACAGATGAGAACCTGAGACGAAACAGGCATATAGTCAAATGGAGCAGAGTAGATAATTAGCACTTGCAATAGCAGTGTGGTCAGGATATGTCATAAATTTTTGTTTGAGAAATATTAAATGCTCAATTTATATGCAAAATAAGACACAAATTCCATGAATTACACTACTTGTATGCTGATTTCGCGGCGTAATAATAAATGGGGGATTGAAATCAGAAACCGAACGTATTTCAAAGAAAAGCCTTTATATTTCCTCGTCGCATTTCAAGCATAATCAATTAGACTAATCGAATTATAAACATATTTTCAAAAAGTTGATGAATATCAAAGATGTAGCAGAGCATACCTCATTAAGTCCGTCGATAACAAAAATCGGCGTTAGGTTGCATTGACGAAGTTTCAATATAAACTGTTCCGTAGCGACATCGAAGGCCATGTATTCGCCATTGTATTGTGTTAAAATCCCAGAATTATAGTAAAGGTTGTTTATTATGTTCTTTCCATCAAGTACAATAAGAGAATTATGCAGCCTTGTTTGACGAAAACTACTAGAGTCCCCGCGAATGTATGAAGATAACCCAGAAACACCCATTTCACAACCGCTTGTGACCGATTCATACTAACACCCTATATATACACACACGTACGCACACACGTACACATCAAAAGATGATTGCTTCTTACAGTCATTTTTTTAAAATAATGCTCGACCTTTGTAAATATTCCTGCGATTAATCACTTAACGTATTTTTCGTATCAAACCTTTCATAAACGCTAGTAACTCGCTAGTGGTGTGGTTAATTTGTCGAACCATTTTAATGCCTGTTCAGTGGTCTGACCTTGACGAGAAATTTAGTATTTCATGCATCAGAGCAAACACCCCATCACATATTTACATATGTAGGAGATGACTCGATGTGGGTTAGCAAGCTACATCATTGTTGTGCTCTACTTCTGGCATAATTGTAGTCTAATTGAAGTATTATCCCAATGTGTACTCTTAATTAGTTACTTCCAAATATTAATTCATGCTCAGTGGAACACCAGCAAAGGTAAGTGGAAAGAGCTTGTCTACACAGACTTATTGCAGATTATTTGCTGTCAGTTGCTCACACATTGCTTTCAATAGTCTTTGCTCACATGCACTCGCTAAAAACATTCAAACTATCGCGAACATTGGCAAACTTGTCTCGCCTGGCGCAAAACACCAGTCACATTTGCCACAGTCACGCTCGTTTGTTCTATGTTTCGGTGCATTGGCGACTGTTAACCTGAAAGGATGTGTACGCCAATGTTTCATTTGTGTAGTGGGATTGGTGAGATCGTCACATCTCTCATCTCTGTGGTTAGTAAGTGAACCCATTCGTGTGAACACCTGTTCGGCAAACAGTATATCCCTCAATGTACTGGTACATCCCCTATGCCTACGTATACTGTATGCTAATTCAGGCTCATTTCCGCAATCGGAATATTATTATATTTTTTCTCTGTATTCTCATGCTGCTCAACCGCTGTCAATAGATAAAGCTGCGGAATTTTTCTACTTGCTTGATCCATCACCCATGAAGACAGCAATTGGCAAGTGGTTTTATTCCCCTTGAATGACCTGTTTCATCAAGGCCTATGTTGGAAATCTACCTTTCACAATGGAAGATGTTGACATACCTTCCTATAATCTCCTCTAGTTTACACGTCCACCATTTGGTGATATTTAGGCAGATGATTCCATTCTACGACGGACGTGGGTTAAGTGTCTGACAGCCAACGCTAATCCATATATCCCTTTTTACATCTCTGATGAAACATTCAGAACAACTGCCAAACGGCAAGTAAATTTTGTGGCGTATGCCTTGAAGGCGTGGGATGTCAAACCACCAATTTTTACGTAGCACGATCAATTTAGTCATGAAGATGTTTCAAGAAGAATTTTCTGCTATCTCATCGATAATAAATGAGTTTTCTTCATAAAGTCCATCAAATATCTAGATCCACAAAGTCAGGTAGCAAACAGCCCATTTTATTCAACGTGTGGTCATTCCTCGCTTACATTATTTACTGAAGTCGATGTTCCGTGATCAACAAATGATTCTGGTAGGCGATTATCTGTGATTAATTGGGTTAACAAGCACGCATGTGCTATCAAACCTTATAGTGGGCTTAAAAAGGTCTATGATGGCACGTAAAATGTGCGCATGCACACAAATGCTTGGGTAGTTTTGCTACTGGGTCGATTGCAGTCACCTTCGTTGACAGTGTGACAGAATCGGTTGCATAAGTGCTGCATATACTTTGATGTCGTTGACTGCGAGGCCGGTTCTGCCACCTATGCCTGTGGTGTTCAGGTTGCCTCTTGCGTATTTCAGCATCCACGCCATCAAAACGGATGCTAAAATTTGCGTACGACGGCAAATCATGCAGCATCCAATGGACAACTCTCCTATTTTCACCAACTGTTTAACTCATCCACTGTAGACAGAACCAAATCCGCTGATTTCTTGAATGCATTAGTCTTGATTGCACTAATTTTTTGTAGTAGTTTATTAGAGGCCACTAACGGCACAGGATTTGCAGTCGTTTGTACAACAACTGTGCTACTGCTGGTTCAATAACTGCTGAGTCCAGCATCACTTCTGAACTGCCACAAGCATCATGGGTTGATCAGCAGGACGAGTGCCTGAAGGAATGTCAGCGCACCTGAATTTGAGTATCATCGAACCAGACCACGCATTGATCGCGTTTCCATCTGGAACCACCTTGTGAATACCCCGCTGTCAATAATTCCACCTTAAACACTTACAGATGACGTGCCAAAATCGAATTACAGCATAGGCAATCCCTTACTTGAAACCAAGTATTTACTTTGCATTAAACAGTAACTACTGCGACAACAAGTAGAGCAAAACACTAAATGTTAAACAGTGAATGCATACACCAAATGAAAACACTTAACGCTAGATAGTGATTTGTGTAGTATTTTAACTAAACTAGTTTAGTACAACTGAGGATAAATCAGCACTAACATTTAATTGTTACACTTCCAAAGCCAATTGGCGTATCGCAAACAGGAACAGTGGGACAGAGTAAGAATTCAAAGGAACCAGGTCAGGAGAGCGTACACATCCGATCGGAATAATTATTTGAAAACCTCAACATTCTCTTTCGTCCCGAGTTTACTTTAGCATTTCCAATTGTTTATTTTATGCCGAAGCATTTTCTGAGCGTCAACATTTCCGATTAGCTTGTGCAGGTGATGGAGAGGGATGTGGAAAAGTAAGAACAATAGTTGAGTTCCTTCCTGAGGCCTCTTCAGCGTACCCTTTTTCTTGTGCAACTTTCCAGCAGTTGCAAACGTTTACCGAAATGCTTTAGACGCGGCTTGGCATGCAGTTTGTTACACGTAGTCGTTGCCGAAGTCGACGCGCCCTCCAACGTCCAGTTCATTCTTCTTCTTAGGAAGACGGCAAGATCCATAAGCAACCATGCGACTTACTCCCAGACATTTGGAATCCCGTGTGTTGATATCGTCGCGAAGTATCTTTCACTGAACTGCAATTCACGCGATCGCCTCCGGTCGTTTCTGTTTTGGGCTTGTCTATGTGCACCACTTGACCTGTGTTTGGGGTAATTAGTGGCATTGTTTCAAGGGTCACACCGATCGGGTCGTGTTGACTGGACGCCACCACGCTTTTCTCCGAATCGACGACACCTGCTTTAACAGAAGCGTCAGAAATGAAATACAACTTGGCTGATTTCCTATAACACTGCTGTCTTATAAACCTCGTCACAATTCCAGACCCGGAATCAACATCTCCGACAGGCACAGAACCTTCACCAGCTACATTTGTTTCAAACTCTTCGACGGTGAGGCAGATTCGAATCATCACCTAGTATGGCGATTGGCGAGCAGCAAACGCATTTGCCCAAATGATCATTCGTTGTTTCTCGTTCGGTGGTGTGGTGGCCGTCGGAGGGATGTAGTGGCGTGTGATGAGGTTCTCTGCTTTTATAAATTGCACAACTGCGCGACGACCGGCTGACCTAAACAACACGGTTGGCCTTCAAATAGCATTGACAAAGACATGGCTCCTAAATGATTGACAACCTGTTGTTCACGTAGCGACCTTCTGAACAGAGAGACCAACGAAGCTAAACTGAACGACCACATTGGTGCAGATTACTAGTGATCCTTGCGTGTACTTCTCCTTGACATGTTGCTTTCCTGCTTGCTTGCTTGCACATCTAGTTGATAGGTATTTCAACAAAACTGAAACTGGTCATGTCAACACGCTCTTCCACGAGTCTTAATACGTCATAAAAGTGAAGATTTACTCCATATCTCTGTATTCTGTTAGCTACCTCAGCTCGTTTGAATAGCAGTGGAATTGCCAGTCTCTTCACAAGCGCCTCTAGATTTCTTAACGCATTTAGCTTTTGATAATAGTCGAACTGGGTTAGAATGGTTTCACAAGATTGGAGGACATCATTGTCAATTGTCATGTAAGAGAATATCTGGATAACGTTGGCGTGCTATGGCCTGTTCTATCCTGGCCTTGCCTGTCCGTTGGGGATCCCAATTACGGGGAAGGTTGAAATCGCTGATTTGATGATGAGAAAGTGGCGCGTGAGGACGAGTTGAGGAGAAAAATAAGGTAGGAAGTTAGCTCAAGACACTAATGTATAGTTTGGAGTTAGCACAGTGTAATCACTGGCACCAAACGCAATGTGCCTACAGATTGGGGATGTAAATGGGTAGGTTACCATTCGTCCGTCCCCCTGACATAGCCACATCACCAAGGTTAACCACCAAGCATGCGGCAGAAGACTAGTAGTAGTAGTAGCAACCGGACGTATTTAGGACTACCGTACACAAAGGTAGAGTGGCTAGAGCTTAGAGGGGGATGTTAGAGGGGGATTGGGAAGAGGATGGCAGGAGGAAGAGTAAGAGCTGCTCTTAGAAGCATGAGCGCACCTTGAGGAGTGCGGGATGGTGAAGGAGTACGGGAGGACAAAGATCAGGCCCTTCCAGTGTTTGATGCTTGAATGGCGGGCATTGCATGCGCGTTATTTGACTAGTGTTCGAACTTATCCATCACAGTGAAACGAAGGATAAGTAAAGACTAGCATGCAAGAGGTACACCCACCAACGAATTGCAATGCCGACATATGTTATTAAAGATTGATGGAATTGGTATTTGAGAAACCACAAACCAGTCCGTTTCATTTTACTCCTGACATATTAACGCGGTGTTTCCTTCTCGCAGGCAAACACAGATAGCTTCATTTGCATTCTCACGCAGCCACGTGGAGCCACCTCATGTTTCGGTCGTTTTCAAGTCTCCCTAAACCAACTTCACCTCTGTCCAACCTCCTATGTTTTGTAGCTTAGTGGTTCGGATCGGCCACTTCCCGTGGGAGTGTGTTAGACGTGTTCGACTACTCAAGGTCCACCACACTGAGGTGCTACTTCCATCATGATACTTGAGATGGCGGTTGAGGCTAGTTGGCTCCATGGGTTGAACAGTAGACATCATTCTCAAAGCATGTAATCTGCTCGAATTGTCTTAAGATTCAGACCTAAAATCGTATTACAAT